TCTTATATATGAAGCATATGAAGAATTTTTGAAATAAATTAACACATGAGATTCTCAGTAAGAAAAGAAAGAATTTTGTGAGTAGAGATCCCCAAGAGTATAGCTATTGAGATTTTTTTTAGAATTTTGCTGAGATTCACTCCTCTCGCTGGCCAGACTTAACAAGAAGGGCAAACTAGATTAGAGCTTTTTTAACTATTTTAACTATTCATGATTATGTGAACATGAAACAGTCCCTAAAAGCAGTATAAATTATTTGAATTTTTAAACTTTTACTTTAGATCTACTCCTATGTTTCACGACTTGACGACAATGTTGGCAAGCAAACCTATCCTTGTTACCTTTTTTACATGACCGATGAACAGATGAAGAAGGTTATGCAGAAAAGACTAGAAGTTCCAGAAGGCTACACTATCGGTTGGTAAAAAGACATTGTGAGAGGATTTTTCGTCCACGTCAGTTAACCTTTAACTTTAGGCACACCAAACCTGCAGCACGAAGCGCGTTGTATGACTGGCACATGGAGTTATGGTGATGATGGTGATATTGAGTTGACAAGGTAATATTTTACGTTGTACAGTGAAATAGGTAGTGCTGATGCTCAAGTTATTGAAGAAGGAAATCCTGCTAGGTAAGCAGACCACACTGAACAAGCCTTCATTTACAGTTAGTCTGCAAATTCAAAAAGCTGTTCACCATAAGGCAGCCTCTAAATCACAACCGAGTTTAACCTTCCCAAAACTTTAGGAGTTTTATCCCATACTCGTAAAGGAGTGCATTGTGAAAAATGTCTTAGTGAAAAAAGAATATCGTGTTCTAACCCTTATCCTTTTTCTATGCCCTTGTTGCAGGTCATGGGAGTGTGAGATATGTATGACGAGCATTGATGGAGAATTAGTCTATAAGGATATGATAATCAACAGACACCTACAAACAGTTTATCATTCCAGTAGTAGCAGGAGCAACCTAACAAAAGCAAAGTACAATCAATAAGAGCCAACAACATTTACTTATAAAGGGCAAAACGGATCAGTAACCTTTATAATTGAAAAAAAGTCGATATTCATTCTTTAATGCTTGTTGGATCAAAGAGCAGCTCATGGGGAAGATTTTTTCTGA